GCTGATTCTAGTTTGGGACAGTTACAAATAAAGCTTCTATGAATATTCATGTGCAGGTCTGTATAAATCAAAGTTTTCATTTCTGTGGGATAAATGCCCAACAGTGCAACTGCTGGGACATATGGTAATTGCATATTTAGGGTTTTTTAAATTGCTGGGTGAAGGGGGTCCGTACGGGGATAGGGGGGACAACTGTAATACTTTCAACAATAAAGATAAATTTTTAAAAACTGCTGCACTATTTTCTAAAGTGGCTGCACCATTTTACACAATGTGTGAGTGATCCAGTTTTTCACATCCTCACGTTTGTTGATGGTTTCTAATATAACTCCATTGTAATCTGAAAACATACTTTGTATGATTTTAAATTGTTTTAAATTTATTGAAGTTTATGATACGGCTTAATATTTGGTCTATCCTGGAGAATGCTCCATGTGAGCTTGAGGCTACTAAGTTTTTCACACTGATTTTTATACTTCCTATTCTCCCCTTAAGAGAGCAAGAGACAGAGACAGAGAGACAGAGGAAGCAGTCTAAGGTGGAGGGCCTTTTGCAGACAACTACCACCATGGACTACTTAACCACAGGGATATGTTCTGAGAAATTGTGCGAACATCACAGAGAGCATTTATACAAGTCTAGATGGTACAGCCTACAACACACCTAGGATATATGGCATATTCCATTGCTCCTAGGTATAAGCCTGTACAGCATGTTACTGTACAAAACAGCATGAGATTAGATCACGCACAAGAGAAAATGATACAAAATTGGAAGTAACTATAAATGAGCATGATGTTTCTTTGTAGGATGATGGAAATGTTCTAAAATTAGATGTCATAACGACTGCATAACTCTATAAATATGCTAACATTGATTGACCTATATACTTCAAACAGGTGCATTTTATGGTTTATAAATTATCTTAATAAAAATATTAACATTTAAATGTTTAAATTTTTTTAATTTACTAGCATCAAACTAGTTTTTCTTGTTGACTTAACCAGAGGTTGGAAGGAGAATTGCAAAGGGAATCATTTCTTTCTGCACGATTCAATAACAGGCAGATCTAAAATAACTTTGAGTATAAGAAAAGATACATATTCCACACTTTAAACTACAACTGCGGGGTCTTAGAAGCCACATTCTGACCTCGCTGAGGCCAAACTAGAAGAGAAAGGGTATCATATTAGCCAGAGAACTAGGACTCGTGTGACAGTGGCCCATGATGTCTCCACTGGATGTATAGCTGGGAGGTGGTCTTGCATTGTCTCCCATTGGGCATGGAGGGGCTGTGAGTGACTCTGGGGCTGGAGGTGAGATGGGTGAATCATGCATTATGGAAACTGTACATGTGGGAATTGGCTAGCACAAAGCAGAATGCTTGCTGAGGAGTACCCTATACAGTGCATAAAAGCTGAATTTCACCCTCAGAAATAGTGTCTTTAGGTGCCAGTAGCCAAGCCAACATGTCACAGACATGTTTTGTCTGCCCAGGCTGTACTTTACTAGAAACTTCCCGTCTTCCAAACTAGTCACCCTCCCATTCTTAAAGTTATGGCGGGAAAAATAATTTTGTATTACCCAAGTCCCCTCCCTTGACCACAAATGCCTTGTCATGATGGGGGAAATCCTTCCATAGAAATGACTAGAAACAGAGAGTGCCAGAAACTAAAGTTGGGATATAGGCATACCAGAGCTAAAGGCAACTCTGTTTTTTACCATGCAGTACCAGTGCCTTCCAATAAATTCCTTTTTTCCCCTGAAATTAATTTCAATTGGGTTTTGGTTCCATGTAACCAAATAATCCCATTAAAGTTTAAATCATTTTCTGCGTAGATTCTAGTCTGTCAGCTCTCCCACAATATACAAGGCTTAATTCACTTAAAAGTCACACCTTTACTGCAGTTCAATGGTGTTAGATGATAGCGCCTTCTCTCAGAAAAGGCCATCTCTACCCACCCATGCTACCCCCTTCTAATGACAAAACTTATACTGGGAATACAAGTAAACTATTTTAGGATTACAGTAAAGAAGGTAGGGATCTGAACTAAGTCTGGGGAGTTTAAAGGTTGGTCCAGCCCCTAGAAAAACACATGATTAATTGGTGTTGATGGCTGTTATTATAAACCAACCCAATGCAATGTGATATAAAGCTTTTGAAAACCCAAAGAAACAGAGCAATTTGTTGAAAGCCATGTTAAGAGCTTTTGCAAGATCTTATTTCACTGTTACTTAACTTTGGTTTAATCATATTTGGATTAGCAAAATCTGGAGCATGATGCCATTGGCTGTATGAAAATCAACTACTGGGATTGCTGAGAATTAAATTAACCAGAGGAATGGAGACAACCAAAATTCTCTATTTTTCTTTCATAAAATTTTTATTGAATAAAAATAAGTAGCTTATCAGGCTAGATAGAGTTATCATCAAATCTCTAGCCCATGTGGACTGTGTGTCTATAAACATCTCTCCAGGTATAAGAATTCAACAACCCAGTGCTTCTGGAACAAGCCAAAATGTTCATATATGATGGGTCACATTCAGATCTTAGAACAAAACAGTGAAATTACAGACTTTACTACATCTTTAACTTAAGTATAGAAATAGAATAAACAGGGATGTGTGGAAAATGTTAAGAATCTCTCATTGTGGCTGATGTGGCTCAGTTGGTTAGAACATCATCCCATACACCAAAAGGTCATGGGTTCAATTTCTAATTTCTAATCAGGTTTCAGGTTCGGTCCCCAGTTGGGGTGCTTATGAGAGGCAACCAATGTTTCTCTTTTACATTGATGTTTCTCTCTCCCTCTCTCCCTCTCCCCTCCTCTCTAAAATCAATAAAATCATATCCTCAGGTAAGAATTAAAAAAAAATCTAACTCTCCTTACCATTTGAAAGTTACTAAAATGGTGATTGTAGTAACAATGACAATAATAATGAAAGGTAAAAACAACAAAACCATGTAGCCCAAAGACATTTAGTGTCAGGGATGTAACTGTGCTGTGTGTAGGAGGTTTTATTTTAATATTCATTATTGTGTGGTCCATCAAATTTGTATTTCCCTACTATTTTTCCTTAATTCTACTTTTTTTTTTTAAAATCTTTATTGTTCAGATTGATTTTTGTCCAGTTTCTTCCCGCATCTCCCATTCCCCTTTCCCCCCCAAGAATAGTCAGTCCATTCCCTTTCTATGTCCCTGATTCATTATAATCACCAGTTCATTCTGTACATCAGATTATTTATTCACTTGATTCTTAGATTCACTTGTTGATAGATGCATGTTTGTTGTTCACAATTTGTATCTTTACCTTTTTCTTCTTCCTCTTCTTAAAGGATACCTTTCAGCATTTCGTATAATACTGGTTTAGTGGTGATGAACTCCTTTAGCTTTTCCTTATCTGTGAAGCTCTTTATCTGACCTTCAATTCTGAATGATAGCTTTGCTGGATAAAGTAATCTTGGTTGTAGGTTCTTGGTATTCATCACTTTGAATATTTCTTGCCATTCCCTTCTGGCCTGCAAAGTTTCTGTTGAGAAATCAGCTGACAGTCGTATGGGTATTCCCTTGTAGGTAATTGAGTCTCTTTCTCTTGCTGCTTTTAAGATTCTCTCTTTGTCTTTTGCTCTTGGCATTTTAATTATGATGTGTCTTGGTGTGGTCCTCTTTGGATTCCTTTTGTTTGGGGTTCTCTGCGCTTCTTGGACCTGTAAGTCCATTTCTTTCACCAGGTGGGGGAAGTTTTCTGCCATTATTTCTTCAAATAGGTTTTCAATATCTTGCTGTCTCTCATCTTCTGGCACCCCAATTATTCTGATGTTTGTACGCTTGAAGCTGTCCCAGAGGCTCCTTACACTATCTTCGTATTTTCGGATTCTTTTTTCATTTTGCTTTTCCGGTTGGGTGTTTTTTGCTTCTTCGCATTTCAAATCTTTGGCTTGATTCTTGCGCTCCTCTGGTCTGCTATTGGGTGTAATATTCTTTATTTCCGACCGTGTATGCTTAATTTCTAGTTGTTTCTTTATCATAGCATCGAGGGTCTCATTAGTTTTCGTGAGGCTCTCCAGAAGTTTATTGCAAGCCCTCAAAATTGCGTTTTTTAGCTCTATATCCTCCATTTCTGTCATGTTTTTTTGTCTCCGCATTTTTTATGCTTTCTTGGTGCACCCCCTAGTGGTCTTTGTGCGCAGTCTTGTTCTAGTTGAGCCTTGATTGTTGTAGTTAATACTAGAGGGATTTGACCACCAGGCCGACTGGCTGTGAGAATCAGCTGTGTCTGCTGCAGTGGGAAAACTTCTGTCCTCTGGGGGGGCGCTAATCTAGCCTTTGCCTGCGGCGATCCGGCAAATGGCTCTGCGCAGGGCTTGGGCGGGGCGGGCTCAACAGGGCGGGCGGAGGGAGCCGTTATGGTGCCCTCAGTCCTGTTCCCAGAGGCTCTGCTTCTCAGAACCCCCGGAACCGCTGCAAACCTCGGAGGGAAAGCTGCCTTCCAACTGATGCCAGACACTCCCGCTTCTCCCGTTTGGGTCCGAGTCCCCAGCGATTCGCCCGTATCTGGAGCTCAGAGTCTGAGACTCCCCCCTGACCGAAAACGACAACCGCGCTCTCAGCCACCAGCCCGCTTTGCGCGCGCACCTCCGCACCTGAGTTTTTTCCACACTGCGCCTCCTCTGAGCCTCGGTGTGCTGTTATTTTTCCTTCTAGTTGAAGAGTCTCTCCTCAGCCAGCCTTCCTGTGGTTCTGGGTGATGTCCGTTCCGTCTTTTAGTTGTATTTTTGAAGTGGTTGTTTGCGGCAGCAGTCTCCGGTGTTTACCTATGCCGCCATCTTGGTGGACTCCCTTAATTCTACTCTTAATATTACCTTGACCACCACAAGTAAATGACTGTTGATTAAATTATTACACTGAGGATAATACAGGCATGACAGCTTTTTACACATAGACATTTGGGGATGGAAGAAATGAACTACACACAAAAAAGTTTAAAGGCATCTTACCTAATATCTGAGAGATCACATTTGTTTCCAGCGATAGCCATGACAATGTTTTCTGGGCCATGTTCTTTCAGTTCTTTCACCCATTTCTTCAAGGTATGGAATGAGTCCTAAATTCAAAGGATAAATCAAGCACTGGAAAGACCCATCAACATACTAGAGTTATGTGTTCCTAACATAACGCTATGCACATAATCCTGTATAATTCTATATACAGTATTTCAACCAAGTAGAAATACAAACTCAACACAATTAATGGAGAAAAAATATTTTCAGGAGGCTTACCTAGATCAACAAACTACTCCTATCTTGATACACATTCTAATATTAGCTAAATTATACTTAAATAGCCTATAAAAGGTTTCCTTTTCTAAAACTGGATAAAGTTAAGCTATATAATCTTAACCAATGTCACCCCAGTAAATTTAATAAAAATATTTCTGCAAAAAATACAAATAAAAAATAAAACTAAAAGCAAACAAGAAAAAAAAACCCTTCATAAACATGGACAATGGTATGGTGGTTACCAGAGGGAAGAGGGGTGAGGGGTAGTAAAGGGTAAAGGGGGTCAAAATATGGTGACGGAAGATTTGACTTTGAGTGGTAAATAGAGTGCAATTACACATGATGTATCATAGAGTTGTACACTTGAAACCTATAAAATTTTATTAACTAATGTCATCCCAATAAGTTTAATTTAAAAAGTAATAATAGCTCCATTAAAACTGAAATAAGCCAGTCAGAGAAGGATAAATACCACATGATCTCACTCATTTGTGGAATATAATGAACAACATAAACTGATGAACAAGGACAGATCCAGAGACAGAGAGGCATTGATCGGACCGTCGGGCCTCAGAGGGAAGGTGGGGGGGCGGGGAGGGGGAGAGATCAACCAAAGGACGTATATGCAAGCATACAGGCCTAACCAATGGACACAGACAACAGGGGGGTGAGGGCATGAGTGGGGGGATAGGGGGTAACGTGGGGATAAGGACACATATGTAAAAACTTAATCAATAAAAATTTTTTTTAAAAGTATAGCCTTGACTTAGCATGAAAAAGGACTAAATCATAGGACTAAGACAATGTTCATGCTTACCTCAGGAAAGAAAAAGGAAACTCACTCTCTCTCTCTCTCTCTCTCTCACACACACA